CTCTGTCCTTATGAGCACAGGGGGACATTGTGGGAAGGATTTGAAGGACTATTAGCACTCAAGTGACATAGCCTTCACTTTCACTGCAAAGTGGATGGTTTACCAGCTGAGTGAAAGAAGCCTGGCCTTTAGCCTTTATCCCCGATGAGCCAGCCAACCTGGCTTTACTTCTGTTTGAGGCATTAGGAAACTATTAGTGGAAGGTGTGTCCAGTTCTGGTATCCACACTCCAAGAATTGGAAAGGGACTTACAAAAGTGCCACAAGAATGATTCGAGGTCTGGAAAATCTACCTTAGAGTGAGCGACTAAAGGAGCTCAGTCTATTTAGTTTATCCAGGAGAAGGTTAAGAGGTGTATTGAACAGAGCCCAAAGATACCTACATGGGGAGAAAATGTCTGACAGCAGAGGGCTCCTTAATCTAGCAGACAAAGTCAGACTGAAATCCAGTGACTGAAACCTGGAGCTGGACAAATTCAGGCCAGTCACAAGGTGCAAATGTTGAGGCGAGTGAACTATTGGAGAAATTACCTAGAGTTGTGGTGTACTCTCCATCACTTGGAGTCTTTAATCGACCCATGGATGTTGCTCTCTAAGAAATAGAGTCTAGCTTAACAACAAGATATGGGCTTGATTAGGAATCTCTGGGTGAGGTTCTCTAGTCCAGTGTTTCTCAAATTCGGCCACCAGCCACTTTTCATGCGGCCATGACAGTTTCCTGGGTGGTGATGGGGTGTGTGTGTCAAAGCAGTGGCACTTACCCCTCCCTCCCTGTTGTTTCTGGATGCAACACCCTGCATCATCTCTGCAGACAGGTGGGGCACAACACTGGAGGAACAAAGGGAGGTGGTGGAGCATGGGATTTAGCCCTGGGGTGGTTGGGCAGCAGGCTCCAGTGGCAACTCCAGCCTCCAGCAGCATGGCTTCGGGTGCTGACCTTGGCTCTGGCCATGTGGTGCAGCTCCTGGCTCCAGTCCCGGGCTTCAGCCACAGTGCTTTGGGTGCTGAACCACGGTTCTGGCCATGTAGCAGCAGGTGCTGACTCGGATCCAGCCGCACAGCCCCCAGGCTCCAACTCTGGCCACAGCTCTGGTCCATGTGAGCATGCTCAGTACAAGCCAAGCAGCAAATCTGGGGGGCATATGATCCTGCATGCCTGCATCATGGACTTCAGAAAAGCAGACTTTAGCAAACTCAGAGAAGTAATAGGTATGGTCCCAGAGGAAGAATATTTAAGGGGAAGAAGGAGTTAAGAAGAGCTGGCAGTATCTGAGAGAGAATATTTAAGGCACAACAAGAAAGACCCCCAATGCAAATGAAAGATAGGAAGAATAGTAAGAGGCCAATATGGCTGAATATGGAGCTTTTTTACTGAGCTGAAAATCAAAAAGCAATCCAACAAAAAGTGGAAAAATGGATAAATTACTAAGGATGATTATTGAAGAACAGGAGAAGCATGTTGAGTTAAAAATGAGAAAGGCTGGGGGGCACAAAATTAGTTTCACGTAGCAATGGACATAAAAGGAAATAAGAAGAGATTCTATAACTATATTAGGAACAAGAAAAAGATGAAGAAAAGTGTAGGCCCACTACTTAGCAGGGAAGGATAGCTAACAATGAATACCATCAAGAAGACTGAGCTCTTTAATGCCTATTTTACTTCAGTTTTCACTAAAGATAATTATGATCAGATGCTTAACACTACTAGCTGAAGAATGTTTAGTAAAGTTAGAGGTATTCAAGTTGGCAGGGCCTGACCATATGTACCCTAGGATACTTAAGGAACTAGCTGAGGTAATCTCAGAAAACATTAGCAATTATTTTTGAGAACTCATGGAGAACAGGTTAGGTCCCAGTGGACTGGAGAAAGTGAAACTGACTTCCTATTTTTAAAAGGGGAACAAAGAGGACCCAGAGAATTATTGACAAGTCAGCTGAACTTTGATATCTGGATAGCTACTGAAACAATATTTTAAACAATCAATTTGTAAATACCTAGAGGATAGCAGGGTTATAAGGAATAGCTAACATAGATTTGTCAAGTACAAATCAAGCTAAAACCAACTAATTTATTTCTTTGACAAGGTTACTCTCCTAGTGCATAGGGAAGTAGCACTAGACATGATTTAGCTTGATTTTAGTAAGGATTTGACACAATCCCACTATCATATGCAACCTAGGGAATATAGTCTAAATCAGTGATCTCCAACCTTTTTACGCACAAGATCACTTTTTGAATTTAAGTGCGACCCAGGATCTACCCCGCTTCTCCCCGAGGCCCCTGCCCCTTCTCCAAAGCCCCGCCGCACTCACTCCATCCTGCACTCCTTTTATCTCTCACTCTTCCCCCACCCTCACTCACTTTGACCATGCTGGGGCAGGGGGTTGGGGTTCAGGAGGGGGTGTGGGCTCTGGGCTGAGGCCGAGGAGTTTGGAGGGTGGGAGGGGGCTCTGGGCTGAGCCTGAGGCAGAGGGTTGGAGTGCAGGAGGGGTGCAAGCCCAGGGAGAAAGTTTGGGTACAGGAGGGAGTTCCTGGCTGGGACAGAGTATTGGGGTACAGAAGGGGGTACAGGATGCGAGCTCTGGGAGGGAGTTTGGGTGCAGAAGGGGGCTCCAGTCTGAGGCAGAGTGTTGTGTTACGGGAGGGGGTATAGGGTGCTGGGGGGGGTTAGGCTGGGGCAGGGGGTTGGGGTATGGGAGGGGTTGAGGGGTGAAAGCTTTGGGAGGAGTTTGGGTGCAGGAGGCCCCAGGCTGGGGCAGAGTGTAGGGGTCCAGGAGGGGGTATGGGGTGCTGGCTCCAGGAGGGGGGGTTAGGGCTAGGGCAGGGGGTTGGGGTGCAGGAGAGGGTTCAGGTGCAGGAGGGCATATGGGGTGCTAGTTCCGGAAGGGGGCTCAGGGCTGGGGGTTGCGGTGCGGGCTCCTGCCGGGTGGCACTTACCTCGGGCAGCTCCCAGTCAGTGGTAGGCTCCCTGCCTGCCATGGCCCCATGCTGCTCCCAGAAGCAGCCAGCACGGGTTGGGGGGGCATGTGGCTCCACACACTGCTCCTGCCTACTTGTGAAACAGGTTAATATAATTCTGGCATGTATAAACAGAGACGTTGTGTGTAAGACACAGGAGGTAGTTGTCTTTTGTCTACTTGGCACTGCTATGTGGTGACATACTGTATTCAGCTTTAAACACCACACCTTAAGAAAGATGTGGACAGGAGGGATAGCTCACTGGGGGAGGAGGGATAGCTCAGTGGTTTGAGCATTGGCCTGCTAAACCTAGGGTTGTGAGTTCAATCTTTGAGGGGGCCACTTAGGGATCTGGGGCAAAATCAGTACTTGGTCCTGCTAGTGAAGGCAGGGGGCTGGACTCAATGACCTTTCAAGGTCCCTTCCAGTTCTAGGAGATAAGATATCTCCATTATTTTATTTATTTAAATAGGACAGAGTGCAGAGGATAGTGACAAAAGTGATAAAAGATTTAGAAAACGTTAGCTATGAGAAAAGGTTACAATAACTGGGGATGTTTAGTTGTGAGAAAAAAGGACTGAAGGGAGACCTTATAACAGTCTTCAAACATGTTACTGGGTGTTATAAAAAGGATAGTGATCAGTTGTTCTCTATGTGCACTGAAGATAGCAGAAGAAGTAATTGGCTTAACGTGCAGCAACTGAGATTTAGGTTGGCTATTAGGAAAAACTCTCTAACTGTAAGGATATTTAAGCACTAGAACAGTTATCAAGGCAGGTTCTAGAATCCCTGTCACTGAACATTTTTAAGAACAGGGTGGACAAACACCTGTTAGAGATTGAGTAGGTTTATTTGGTCCCACCTCAGCACAGGGAATTGGACTAGTCAGGGACCATTGCCCCATTATGCAAGGTGCTGAATGGGGACACCTAGTGAAACACAAGTATCAGAGTGGTAGCCGTGTTAGTCTGAATCTGTAAAAAGCAACAGAGGGTCCTGTGGCACCTTTAAGACTAACAGAAGTATTGGGAGCATAAGCTTTCGTGGGTAAGAACCTCACTTCTTCAGATGCTAGTGAAACACAGTCTCCAGATGAAAGAGCTCTAAGTCTAACTAATATAGAATCATAGAAATGTAGGGCTGAAAGGGACCTCAAGAAGTGAGGCAGGACCAAGTAAACCTACATTATCCCTGACATGTTTATGGAACCATTTTTTTAAAGCCTCCAGCAATGGGGATTGCACAGCCTCCCTTGGAAGCCTATTCCAGAGCTAAACTACCCTTCTAGGTAGAAAGGTTTTTTCCTAATATCTGACCAAAATCTCCCTCGCTGCAAGTTAAATCTATTACTTCTAGTCTTACCTCAATTCATCACCATCCTCTTTTTATCAGCTTCTAATATATTTGAAGACTGTAATCAGGTGGATCCCCCCCTCAGTCTTTTTTTTCTCAAGACTAAACATGTACATGTTTTTTAACCTTTCCTTATAACTCGTATTTTTGAAATCTTTTATCATTTTTGTTGCTCTCCTCTGGACTCTCTCTAATTTTTCCACATCTTTCCTAGAGTGTGGTACTCAGAATTGGACACAGTTCTCAAACTGAGCCCTCCTCAGTGCTGAGTAGAGCAGGACAATTATGTCCTGTGTCTTACATACAACACTCCTGTTAATACACCCCAGAATATTATCCCTCCTCATGAGGTTGGTGAGTTGGTGCATGTTCTGTCTTGTGTTGGGGAGAGGTAGGTGTGGCAGGAGAGGGGGTGTAGTTGTCAGTGATGGGAGAGTGGTTGTATCTCAGATAGCTAGAGAGGGTAGCAACTCTGCTCAGCTCCCAAGGGGAATAAGTTAGGGCAGTTTCCTAGACAGAGGTAGTGAATCCTTGCTCCAGATCAGATCTTGTATGGTTTATAGTCCAGACCCTGGAGGGGATGGGAGGGGAGAGCAGGGAGCCTCTCTGCACTTTCCTGCTCAGATCCTGGATCTGGAAGGAGTAACAGAACTGATCTTAATGAACAAGTTTCTTTGCCCCACAAGCAGGATTTCTGATTTTCAAACCTGACATCATCTCCTGGCTGGATCAAGGAGAGGAGCCATGGCTCCCTGATCTCCATGGATACAAGGAAAGAGAGATCCTGAGAAACACCCACACAGGTGAGGATTGTGCAAAACTAATTCAGAAACCAAATATTCTATCCTCCTGGCAAACATCAATCATGAATTGTTATCAAGTGTGTCTGACCCTTTAGCCCCGCCTTCATCTATTTTCAGAGGATGTGGAGGAAGGATGGGTCCCCGCCTCTCTCTTCTTGGGAAAGGTTTGGAGGGAGAGTAGGTAGGATTCAGCCCCTGATTTTTTTTTTATCTGCTCAACAATTACTTTGGTTTGTTCCCCCCTTTTCTGTTCCCCTTTCTGAGGTTCCCATCCCCCCCGGCACAGGGACTGACTCCTGTCTGGATTCTCTCTCTGTCCCAGCAGATGATGGGATGGTGAGTGAGATTGAGGAGGAGAATCCTGAGCAGGAAGGTCCTGAGCAAGTGGAACCACAGGGGACAGTATCGGGAAGAGCTGAAGGGGATATTTCCCAGAGTCCTGAGGAGGGAGAAGACCATGAGGGTCAGAGCAAGCCAGAGACAGAGCAAGGAAACCACTCAGAGGAGAGACAGGGTAAATCCAAAGGAATTAGGAAAATCAAAGAAACTGTTCAACAGAGAAGCCCCACTGGAGAAAGACCCTACACATGTGGTGACTGTAGGAAAAGCTTCCAATACAGATCAGCCCTTATTAGACACCAGAGAATCCACACAGGAGAGAGACCCTACAAGTGTCTCGACTGTGGGAAAAGCTTCAGACAGACCTCAGCCCTTAGTAAACATCATACACTCCACACAGGAGAGAGACCCTATGAGTGTCTAGAGTGTGGGAAAAGCTTCCATCAGAGGTTCCACCTTATTAAACATCAGAGAATCCACACGGGAGAGCGACCCTATGAATGCCTTATGTGTGGGAAAAGCTTCAGTGAGAATTCACAGCTTCTATCTCATCAGAGAACCCACACAGGAGAGAGACCCTATGAGTGTCTAGAGTGTGGGAAAAGCTTCCATCAGAGGTTCCACCTTATTAAACATCAGAGAATCCACACGGGAGAGCGACCCTATGAATGCCTTATGTGTGGGAAAAGCTTCAGTGAGAATTCACAGCTTCTATCTCATCAGAGAACCCACACAGGAGAGAGACCCTATAACTGCCCCGATTGCGGGAAAAGCTTCCGTCATAGATCAGTCCTCATTGAACATCAGAGAATCCACACGGGAGAGAAACCCTACAAATGCAAAGAGTGTGGGAAAAGCTTCAGTCACATCTCACACTTCCTAACACATCAGAGAATTCACACAGGAGAGAAACCCTATAACTGCCCTGACTGTGGGAAAAGCTTCAGTGAAAGCTCAACCCTTATTCAACATCAGAGAATCCACACGGGAGAGAAACCCTACAAATGCAAAGAGTGTGGGAAAAGCTTCAGTCACATCTCACACTTCCTAACACATCAGAGAA